ACCTCAGGATGAGAGCAGTTTCAAAGGCTTTCTTTCCCAGGTAATGGGAAAGATACACAGAATTTCAAGGGCTGCTGAGTCAGTGTATGAAACATGCATCCCTCCTCCTCCATGCCTTTGTTTCCTATCTATCCTACCTAACAAAAAGAGGGGGCATAAGGGAGTTAAATGAAATTCATTAGTGATATATTAGGGAGGCAGGAGAAAGCAAAGTGGGTGGGGGAACCTTTAGGAATGGGTAAAAAGTAAAACGATAGACACACATTTCTTTTACATTGGTGGGTACAGGTTACTTAACAGTCAACAATTAAAACGATACCAATAACAATGAGGGGATTTGTGGTCTCTGCTCTGGTACAGTGGTAGAGTGAGGGGTTTGGAGAAAGGGAAGTTACCTTGACATTCCAAAGTGTGTTATCATAGATGCAAAAAGACAATAGACAGTCTCAATTAATGTAAAGATTGACTTTTATTAGAGAAGATTCTAGCCTAGGACATGACTACCTGCCATGAACTGCCTTTAGTTAAGAGAGTTTTAATTTCAGACCATTGTATGTGGCTACTTTAGGTCTCCTGAGTTTGTCAGGTTTAGTATGTAACCCTTTTTGTCCACAGTGGACAGTCCCAGTGTCCCAATGTAGTCCCAAGGGCCTAGCCTAGAGAAATAAAGAAAATTATTTGAATCGCTCGTGCTTTGTTTTGGGTATCTAGGTCAGGTTAGTCTTAATCATCTGTAAAACTATGCACTTTCTGCAGCAAGAAAGGCTGAGGCACCACTATTTCTTTCCTGAAAGGTACTGTTCATATTCCTAAGTCAAGAGCTTTTTGTTTATTCGTTTGCAGAAAAAAAAAAAAAAAAAAAAAAAAGAGAGAGAGAGAGAGAGAATAAACATTAAATAAAAATAAAGCAAAGTTCTTACATATAGCACCAGTGAAGGTCAGATGAAGGGACCCCAAAATCAAAGGGCCCCAAACAAGATGGGTATATTTAGCCCAGTTGGAAAGAATTAAAAAAGCAGAAAGGCAAAGATTTCCGTGGGAAACCTGAGCTGCAATCACTTGGGGCAATAGTTTGGCAGATTAATCAAGATAAAGATTGACTAACAGCCAGAGTTGGCTCAACTCCCAGCTGGGGACCCAAAGCCTTGTATACACAGGAGTGGGTGAGTGGTCTAGGGCCAGAGAGGAGTGGTCTAGACTGTCTCCTTTACACAGGAATCCAGTGCCTCTGGTACCAAAACCTGTTGGTGAACCCTGAATATGGGCTATAGTTAGAGTGAGAGACTGTAGAGATGAAAGATTTGAAAGGATTAAGGTGCAAATCAGAATGAAAGTGCAAATCGGAATGAAAGTTGGAATGCTTCATTTACTCAGGCTTTAAAAGGTTGTGTCTCCCTTCCCTGAATGTTAATGGGAAAGGACATCATGTCTGACAGATGAACACTTCTCTCCCTGGTGAGGCAGGGCAGAGGCACAAAGCCACCTTGAAGCCATGTGAACTGGACGTGCTAAGTGGGCCACAGCCGGTACAGAGGGGAGCCGCAGGTACAGAGGGGCAGTGCAGACACTGTCTCTGCATCATGGCCTGTGCAGCAGCTGCTGAGCACACAGCAGTCTCTGAGCACCTCTCAGGATGACTAGTGGGCCTTCATCCAGAGAATTCCATTTGAGGGGCAGTGACTAGCTTGCTATTGGACGTTAATTGAAATTATCTGTATGACCAAAGGACGCAAAACAATCTTGAAACCTGAGATACACAGGATGTCTTGGATAATGTTGGACAAATACTCAAATGTGGAGGGCAGTTCCCAGAAGAGTTCCATAATAAAGTGGAAATAGTTAATATAGGATTATGCGCCTAGGGAAATGAATGCAGGGGGAATATACCCAGGAGCAAGGAGCCTCTTGTCTCCTGGGACTGACTTTGGAAGAGCATGAGAAGCTGCTATATTCTATTGTCACTTTGACAGTGTCCTATAAACATTCTCAACTGATCTACAAAAAGCTGCTTCATTTATAAATGGCAGTTGCAAGGTGAATGGACAATATAGTGTTTAGAAAGCTGCTGCTCTGACCAAGGAAGGTAAAAACAGACCAGCCCAGACCAGCCCAGTGAGCTTAACTGCATACCATTTTCCTAGCAGCAATGGAAGAATTGAACAATGATAAAAGCCCTTGTGGTTTCATTTTTGCCAATTCACAGGCAGTGGCCATATGGTCAGGCAGAAGAGCAGTAGAAACTTGGCCTTTTAAAAACAGCACCCACACGTGCACTGTCCTCTGGAAATCACTATTGGAACATGAGGGTGTGTTAAATGCAGTACGTGCCAATGTCCATCACTATAGCACCCTCCATGTTTGGAAGGCAATTGGAACTAATGAGTGGACATCCTGCTGTCCTCACTTGAGGTGGCCACCTGGCTTCACGAGGTGGGCTGAGTCTAGACATATTAACCTTGTAACCTCCAAGGCACAAAATACCAAAAAGAACTGTTCTGTCTGCCAACGAAAGAGACAGATGCTGCAGATGTCTGAGGGACAGATATCTGGAGGGCAGATGCCCTGGTGGGAAGACCTTGAACATGGCTGGCAAGTCAGGCTGATGCTAGTAGGTGCAGGGGGACAGCTAGAAATCGGTCTTGACAGGAATAGACGCTGACTATGGCCTGGCCTTGGCTTACCCAGTGTCCATACAAATGCTCAGGACCCAAACAACAGACACTGTACCAAGTTAGACTGCCAAATCACATCGCTTCAAACCAAAGAACAACCTTTGCAGCCCGTAATGTTGACATGGGCGAAGAGGTGTACTTCTTAAAGTAACAGTTTGGTGGAAAACTGGCCTGGGCCATGGAAGCATTGGTTGTCTAAATGGTATGGCAGGACTGGAGACCCACAGGCTGCTGACACTCCTTAATGAGTGTGGGCTCACAGTCACCCAAGAGGGAATGCCACGGGTGTTCTCACTGGGCGGTTTCCTCTCTCTTTTCTGGTGGGTCTGGGATGGGAGGATACAAGTGTGACTACACAATTCATCCCTGGTGGGGAGGACTTTGGAATGACTACAGTTCACCTTCCCTTCCTCCCTCCCTCCCTTCCGACTCTGTGGCCTCATTAGGGGCTGCAACTCCCAAGACCAGGAACAGGGACAGTTCCTGAGCAAGAATGTAACTGTGTTGTTTACCTTGTGCCAGATTCCAAAGGGGCTGACAGTGATCACAGCTATATCCCTGGTGGGTCAGGTGCCCAACAGTCCTGTGTTGAGGACCCTCCTCTCTGCACGGGAGTGGACAGAGGAGAAGGCACGTGCTGGACAGGTCCTGCTGCCAGCAGTCTAGAACAGGTCAGCAGCCAAAGTTCATGTCCCTTCTGAGGGTGGAAAGTGTAGCACATATGGGGAGGAGGAAGAGTGGCTGCAGGTGAGGGACTGAATGAATCAGGAAATCCAACATTATATCATCACCTCAAAGGGCTGTGAGCAAGACATGATATTGTCTCTTAGTTCAATTATAGCAAACACCTGAAAGGGTGAAGTCATATGTAGCTGACACCTTTCCTGCTTTTTGGCCCTGACAAGATCAGATGGAGCCTAGAGCCCTGAGGGGCTAGGCCTTGGGAGATATTTTCATGCAGGAGAACAAGGCACTGGACTACTTATTAATGACTCAGTGGGACTCCAGTGATGTGCCAGCATCTGCAAACTGTTAGGATACTTTTATTATAAGGAATCTGTCAGCAAAGACCTGTGGTACAATAAAAAAAATATTTGGTCTTTGCCCCTGGTTCTTGGCACAAAGGTCCTGAAACCCTTGGAATACCCTGAGTGACAAGGATGCTAATGAGATGGCTCTTGGCTGAGAGTCCTGGACAGTTTCAGATGGGGACTGGTCACCAGAAAGACTAAGCTTGTCCATCAAATTGGAACTTTCAGCCTCACTTCCAACCTCTGGGGAACTTGGCAAAGACTAGATCACCCCAGGTGCCTCTGTCCAGGCTGATGTCTGGGTTTTGTGATCTCTGGGGATAGAAGCTGGAGTTCTACTTCAATCACCAATGGCCAATGGCTTGATCAGTCATGTGTACCAAGGGAAACTTCCATAAAAATTCTTCATGTGGTTCAGAGAGCTTAATTCTTAATGTGGTGCAAGTAGTGAACACATGCACATGCTGGGGGGGAAGGGGGTGACACTTTCCAACTCTATGGTGACAAGCTCCTGCACTGTGACCCTTCTCCACCTCACCCCATATCCCTCTTCACCTGGTTCCTTGCTTGTATCATTTGTAATAAACTGTAATAGTAAGCACAGCATTTTTCCTAGTTCTGAGTTGTTGTAGCGAATTATTGAACTTGGGCGGTGGGTTGGTAGGGAGATCCCCAACTTAGCAGCAAAATCAGACAGAAGTGCAGGTAACACGGGACCTGAAACTGTGACTTGCATGTTACAGGAGGACAACTTTGTGGGACAGAGCCCTGACCCTGTGGGTTGTGGTGCTAATCCAGGGAGTGGCAGAATTCTAACACCCAGTGGGTGTTAGAGGATCAGAGAACTGGCTGCATAAAGGAAAACATCCCTCACCGTCCCACAAAGTAAAAGAACAAGTGAGAAACCTTCTACTTCGTTGCGTGCCAGAGGACAAGAGCAGCAAACAGAAGCATTGATGCCCTGTCCTCAGGTCTGCTACCAGCTGATCTCAATCCAGACTTTGAGTGGAACTCCATCGAAACTAGGAAACGAGGAAGGTGTTTTGGTTTTTAGTCCTTTGCGACAGTCCAATGAAAAGCAATCACCGTTAGAGATTCTCTCCCCAGAACTATTTCTGTGTACAAGGAAATACAAATATGAATATAAGACATCAGTGCACACACAGATCTGCTGAAGTCTTTCAGACTTGGGTATTCTAACCTCGTAAGAGACAAAGGCAGGGAGAAGATGTTTGGAGTGATCACTTCACCATCCTACATGCCACCCGCTTATCTGAGAGTAGAGAAATGCTGGATCCTAGTAACACAGAATCAAGAGAATGAGTGGAAATATGGCATTTATTAGTCACTGTTCTTCCAGCAAAACCTGAGTGCCTGAAAAGTACCAGAAATTTCGATCTCAGATCTTTGCTCCAAGAATTGAAACTCGTCTTTCTTTTCCATCTTTCACCCCAGCAGCACCTGAACTCTCTTCCTCATGGAAAGAATTCCACTCATGAAGAGTCTTGGTCAGAGGCAGAGACCAACATCCCTCCATAAAAGAGGGAAACCCACATCCCTCAACATTCGTGCATCTGGACACAGCACAAGGCTCCACCAGTCAGGTGACCACATGCCACTCTACTTCAGGATGTGGTGACAGAGAGAGGCTGGCACTGTGCACAGTGCACTTGGTAAGGGTGGCAGGAGTGGCAGCAACAGCGTCCAGGTGCTGGAGCAGCAGAGACAGCAGTCCTTACCGCAGGTCCAGAGTCCAGCGTCAGGGGAGTCAGTTGTGCGAGTGGTGACATCTGTGCCCAGCAGCAGGGCAGTGGTTCGTGGGTGGGACCTGACCCAGGCTGGACTGTGAATCTGTTCCTGGCTGTGTCCTCGAGACTGTTCTGTGGCTTTCCCCAAAATAGCATTAGACCCCAATATCATACATATACTATTTTATATGTATATAAGAAAATAATTGGGACGCCATTGTTTGCTCCCCAGCAACAAACATTGTTTGTTGCTGGGGAGGAAACATTGTTTGTTTCCCCAGAAATGTATCTGGGGAATAGTTTCAGAGAACAAACATCAGAGATTTTATCATGGTGACCTGGGACCCACTCCTAAACATTCCACCTGACTCTGCCGCATGGTAACTCCCAACATAATGTCTCAATATATTTTTCTTCTGAAGAGAAATGCAAAACATATTTAAATGTAGATTTAAAACCATTCCCCACCCTGAGCTATATCACTGATGATAGTGATTCAGAGTCTGGCTGAGTCCCATCAGCCCTTAATGGCAAGAAGTGAAAAAACAAATTCTTGTTTCATATACAGAGTCTGTTTTCAATAAGGGAGTAAGAAGTTGCAGCCCAATGCATCACCAAGTACAGACAGGGATGCAGAGGGCCAGCCCCACCTCTGCTGGAACGAGAAAGTATGGGGAGGGGGTGTGGCAGGCCAGCCTCCCACCTCCTCACATTTTGCTGATAGGAACACAGATTTATTCAGATGCCCTTTGCAGAAAGAGAAGTGTGATGTTCCTGAAGTCACAAATAGCAGTTAGCAGGTGTGTTTGTGAAGAATCTTCCATCACTTATCCCCCAACAAGGCAGCTGTCTCATGCTGTAGAAAAAAATAATCATGAACAAATTCAGGTCAGTTGCTGTAAGTGGTGACATTTTCAAAAGTCTACCTCATGCTCAAAATGTCCCAGGGAATCCCCATCCCCCAGTCTCTGCGCCCCAGCCCCTCCCCACATCAGGGTCTCACCTCTACAAGCCATGAGAGACACATCAGAGCCCTGGGCACTGTCACTGCCTGGGGTAGAACAAAGCGGATGTGGTTAGAGCCCCAGGAGAGGAGGGTGAAGGAGGAACTATGTGGGGGAGGCCCCCCTGGGCTCCCGACGGCACCATCACAGGGTCTCAGGGGTCCCCCCTCCGTACTCACTGGCAGCCTGCGCGTAGCTCCCTCCCTTTCCACCTGCAGGAAGAAAATGTCCTGTGAGACTCCAGGGAGGAGGCAGGGCCATGAGGTCCTAAAGGAAGCCCTAGTCCTGGGCCCCAGAGAAGTTTCCAGAACTGTGGCTACAGACCCAAGGCAGGATGGGGAAACCTGAGGAAAGTGCATGTGGGAGGTCTGGGCCAATGGCCCTCCTGAAGCCCTGTCCCCAGCAGGGACCTCCCTTCTGACCTGTGACTGCTGAGAACCAGTAAGGGCTGATGGGACTCAGCCAGACTGTGAATCACTATTGTCGGTGATATAGCTCAGGGTGGGGAATGGTTTTAAATCTACATCACCAGATTTATTAAGATGATAAATTTGTCTTTCATCTTCACACATGCCTTACTAAACAGTAAATGTTAGCAAATAGGGCCCCAGACTGGGCAAGTACATGTGTGGATGGTGCCTCCCATTAATGAAGCAGGACACACTTCTACCTGTGCTTGAAACCCCCAGTGGGACAAAAAACTCAAACCCCACCCCTCCCCCACCTGAGCGCCTCCTCCCCCACAACACGGCTCCAGCCGCCACAGCTCCAAGCAGGACCAGGCCTACAACGACTCCCACGATGATGAAGGTGGTCTGAGGGGGCGGCTCTGGAAAGAGACAAGAAGGTGAGGGCCCGGAGCCCCAGGCCCCAGCCCCGACCCTGCTGGACTCCCCCAGCGGCCCCGCACCCCCGGGAAGAGGCTCTGTGCCCACAGCCCCTCCTCACCCCATCTCAGGGTCAGCGGCTCGGGCAGCCCCTCGTGCTGCACGCGGCACGTGTATCTCTGCTCCTCCCCGGGGGGCACCACCACGGCCGCCCACTTCTGGAAGGTCCCGTCCCCCGCCGGCCGCGTCTCCACAAGCTCCATGTCCTGGGTCTGGTCCTCCCCGTCGCGCTGCCAGGTCAGGCTGATGTCCGCGGGGTAGAAGCCCCGGGCCCAGCACCTCAGGGTGGCCTCACGCTCAGAGATGCGGTGGTGGGTCACGCGTGTCTCTGGAGGATCTAAGAACGGTCAGAAAATTCAGGAATTTTGCATCCGTCATGCAACGCTCCAGCAGTACTCATGTGACCATCCTGAGAATGGACACGACAACTGGGGTGGGGGAAGCGAACACAAAATCCAGACATCAGCCTGGACAGAGGCCCCTGGGGTGATCTAGTCTTTGCCAAGTTCTAGAATTAGAATGACACAGCCCCGGGCAGGAGGCAGGTCTCTGAGCGGAGAAAAAGAATTTCTGATTCAGACCTCAGTGGAGGCCAAAGGACTCAGAAAATCCAGGGTCATACCCCGGGCACAGTGGGTTTGGGGCAGCAAACAAGGTCTGAGAGAAAGTTCCCCATGGGCCCCAGAGCCACTACCAGTGTCTAAGGTAAGCGCTGATGGGTTATTTCAGAGTTGGTCTCCCCCTCCATCCCTGGAGAGACTGCACCGCTAACTGTCCCCGAGAAAAGGGTGGGAGTCATTCTCTGGTACTGGATCTTTAGTCTCCCCACCCACAGGAGGGCCTTCTTCTGGTATGATCCCATTTCCTCTCTCCTTTTAGTAGAGGTCCAGCTGGAGGGGAGATGAGAGAGGCCCTCTGCCCCCAGGTACCTGAGCGCTGCAGAGTCTCCTTCCCTTTTTCTAGGTATCTGCTGAGCCACTTTATGCACTCCCTCTCCAGGTAGTTCCTCTGGACCTCCGCCTCATGCACATCCTCATATATGCGCTGGGAGATCTGAGCTGTCCTATCGGCCGCGGTCCAAGAGCGCAGGTCCTCGTTCAAAGCAATGTAGTCAGCGCCGTCGTACGCAAACTGGTCATAACCGCGGAGGAAGCTGCCGTCCGCCCGCATTTTGCAGCCGTACGTCCACTGGAAGGTGTGAGACTCTGGCCCCGCCCCACCAGGTTAGCCCCACTAACTTGGCCCTGACCCGAGGTCAGCCCTGCCCCTGCCCCACCTCGGGGGATCAAACCTAAACGGAAAATGAAACCAAGTCAAAGTCCCCGCTCCCCAAACTCCCGGGTTGGGGAGCTCCTCCCGGGTTGGGGGCAGGGCGGGCCCTGCAGCCTCGGGAGGAAACTCCGACTGGAGACTCAGGGCGATCCCGGCCCGTCTGTGGGAATGGGGGTTGTGACCGGACCCAGACCCGCGTGCTCACCGTCCTCGCTCTGGTTGTAGAAAGAGCGCAGTTTGTCCAGGTTCAATCGGAAATTCTGTGCGGTTTCCTTAACATTCCCCGTCTCTACGTCCCAATACCGCGGGTCCTCCTGCTCTACCCACGGCTGCTCCATCCACGGTGCCCGCGGCTCCATCATCGGACTCGTAGAGTCGCTGTCGAACCGCACGAACTGTGTGTCATCCACGTAGCCGACGGCGACGAAGTGGGGCTCCCCGCGGGCGGGCCGGGACATGGCGGTGTAAAAATATCTCAGGGAGTGGGGACCTGGGGACGGAGAGGGGCTGAGACCGGTGACCCTCCTCCTGGCGCGGGTCCAGGGTCCAGGAAACCAGAGGGTCTGAAGTAGGGGGGCGGGGTCACGACGGGGCGTGGCCGAGGAGGGAGTTGGGGGCGTCTGGTGTCTCGGGGTAGTGGAAACACACCTTTCCCCGGGTCCCCTCGCATCTCTACCGCAGAGGCCCTTCCCTCCCAACTCCGCACTTACCAGCCCAGGTCTCGGTCAGCACCAGAGCCCCGGAAAGGAGCAGAAGGACTACTGGAGACCTCCCGACCTTCATCCTCCAGCTCTGGTGATTCTCCGAGCCCTGGTGGGTCCGCCGAGGCGTGGTAACCTGAGCGGAGGTGACGCTGATTGGCTTCTCTGGAAACCGCACACCATTCAGAGTGACAACTGGGGCACCGTCATGAGTATCCAGGAAGGAGGACCCGACACAAGTTGTGAGAGAGAGAAGTGAAACCCCTAGGAGCTGGGGACTGCCCAACCCTGCGCTTCCCGGCCTAGACTCGTCCTAGAGGCTGAGATCCTGAGAGCCATGACTCCTCTTTCTGCTCCCGGAGCTCTTTATCGCTCTGTGTCCCGGAGTTGTGCCCTAAGGTCTGTCTGAGGCAGCCAGCCAGAGGAACCCCAGGCTGGGCTCAGTCCCTTTTTCTTCTCCTCCGGGTGGTTGTTGGCGCCAGTATCAACGCCAACAGGAATTCCCTATTTGGGGTGCTGGTAAAGGAAACTTGATTCAGTGCAAAACAGCTCAGCTGTTACCAGTCTGCTCTGGCCTGCGCTGGTGTGCTGGTTTCTGCTCTAGTGAAATTCAGCCTGAAAGACTCAAGACTCAGTCTTTTTTAAATCCTCACCCGAGGACATTTTTTCATTATGGACAGGGAGGGAGGGAGGGAGGGAAGGACCGATTGGTTGCCTTCTTTTAGGCACCCCCAGTGAAGATCCAACGGCGCAACCCGAGTATGTGCCCTGACGGGAATGAAACTGGCGACCTTTCGGAGGGCTGTGAGGATGCTCCAATCAACCGAGCCACACGGGACAGAGCCAGACTCAAAGCCTAGGGGAGGTGCTTATTTCGACATAAGTCCTCCGCTTCCGTTTCCTGATGACTGTTTCCTTATGCAAATGAGGGCTCCAGAAAAGGCTTGTTGATTTGTCCAAAAGTCACTGTCCTGATTGGTCTGAATAGACCCACTGCGGTTGGTTGGAGACCAGTGCAGAGGCAGGCCGTTCAACTGGGTCTGTCCCTGAAATGCAGTCTGCTTGAGAGGCCCCTCGGTAGAAATGGCTGCTAGGCTTTGTTTTGGGGGTTGTTTTGTTTTGTATGTTTTTAATTTTAGCCCAGTTAGCCATCAGGAGCCCATCTTAGTAGGCGTCTTCTCTCTCAGGGTTCACAATACCAAATGCAAAGAACACCCTGCTAGGCTCTGTAGATCTATAAACCAACATATTTAAATCTGAGGGTTCACTGCTTTAGAATCTCTACTTCCACTTCTATTCCTCACCTTCTGCTTCTCCAGTCATTCTCTGTGTCTCTAACCCCTCAGGCCTTTCCTCCCCTTTGTCTCCATCACCCTCTCACACTGATTATGATATTAGTGCTCCTCATCACCTGCTGAGGAGTCAGGATGTATCGTTTCTTTTTCTTTTTCTTTTTTTTTTTTTAAGATTTTATTTATTTATTTTTAGATAGTGGGGAAGGGAGGGAAACATCAGTGTGTGAAAGGAAGCAGTTGGTTTCCTCTCGCAGGCCCCCAATGGGGACCTGTCCTGCAACCCAGGCAGGTGCCCTGACTGGGAATCAAACTGGCCACCTTTCAGTTCTCAGGCCAGCACTCAATCCACTGAGCCACACCAGCCAAGGCTGGATGTATCATTTCTGATAAAACTCCAGTGTCTCCCATGTCACTCACATAATGCCTCTGGAATGTAAGACACCTGAGCACAGGGGCTTTTGTCCGTTTAGGTCAAAGTCATATCCCAGCACATGAAACTGTTCTTGGTATATTCTAAGTGTCAAGGACTGGGCCGGAGGACTTTCACGATACATGGCTTACCCACGTAACTGTGGAAGAGGTCTGATTTCCTTCCTGGATTGTCCCAGGAGACCTCAGTTCCTAGCCATGGGACATTTCCACAAAGCAGTGAAGCACTAGGTAGCGTCTTCCCCCAAAGCAAGTGATCAAAGAGAGACCAACCAAGATAGAAGCTGCAATGCATCTTGTGTCCTTGACTGAGTGTCACACACCGTTACATCAGCCTTACTCTTCAGTTAGAAGTGAGCAAGTCCAGCCCATGCTCAAGAGGAGAAAATTACTCCATCTCTGAAAAGGCATAGTATCAATGAATTTGCATATATAAAAAAATTACAATTAAATATTGTTTCTGGAATTTGTAAATTAAATGCTTCTTTTATCTATTTTTCTTTAATGCTTTAAATTTCACTATCAAAAGTATGCTTAAAAGTTTGAGACAAAACAAAAGACCCACCTCAGAACTAAAGATACACACAATCTGAAAGTAAAGGGATGGAAAAAGATATTTCATGCAAATGGAAGCAAAAACAAAGCTGGGTAGCAATAGTTATATGAGACAAAAATAGACTTTAAAACAAAAGCTATAATAAAAGACAAAGGAGGACATTACATAATGATAAAGGGATCAATCCACAAGAAGATTGTAAACTTTTATATACCCAACAAAGGAGTACCTAAATATATAAAGTTAATCTTGATGAACAAGGAGAGATCAACAGTAATACAATCATAACAGGGCACTTTAAAATGCCATTGACATCAATGGATAGATCTTCCAGAGAGAAAATCAACAAGGACACAGCAGCCTTAAATGACACACTAGACCACATGGATTTCGTTGATACTTTCAGAGCATTTTACCCTAAAGTAGCAGAATATACATTTCTTTCAGTGCACATGGAACATTTTCTATGATAGACAACATGTTAGGACAAAAAATATTAGTCTCAATACATTTTAAAAGATTGAAATCATAACAAGCATCTTTGATCACAAAGGTATAAAATTGTAAATCAATGACAAAAAATGAAAAAAACACAAACACATGGGGGCTAAACAACTTGTTACTAAACAATGAATGGGTTAACAATGAGATCAAGGAAGAAATCAAGATACCTTGAACCCTGGCTGGTGTGGCTCAGTGGATTGAGTGCTGGCTTGTAAACCAAAAGATACCTTGAGAAAATAAAATTGAAAATACCAAAACCCAAAATGTATGGGCCACAACAAAAGCAGTGTGTGTGTGTGTGTGTGTGTGTGTGTAAAGATTTTATTTATTTATTTTTAGAGAGAAGGGAAAGGAAGCAGAAAGAGAGGGAGAGAAACATCTATGTGCGGTTCCCTCTTGCTTGGCCTCACTGGGAACCCAGCCTGCAATCCACACATGTGCCCAGACTGGGAATTGAACCAGCGACCCTTTGGTTCACAGGATGGCACTCAATCCACTGAGCCAGGGTGAAAGCAGTCTTAAAAGGGAAATTTATAACATCACAGGCCTATGTCAAGAAACCAGAAAAATCTCAAATAAACTATCTAAGTTTACACCTAAAGGAACTAGAAAAAGAACAACAAACAAAACCCAAAGTGAGTAGAAGGAAGGAAATAATAAAGATCACAGCAGAAATAAACAGAGTGTTAAACAAATTTCCTAAAAAAAGATCAATGAAACCAAGAGCTGATTCTTTATAAATATAAACAAGATTGATAAATATTTTACCAGGTACATCAAGAAAAAAAGAGAAAATAACCCCAAATGAATGAAAACAGAAATAAAAGAGAAGTAACAACTGAACCACAGAAACACAAAGAATTATGAGAAAATATTATGGCCCTGGCCAGTGTGGCTCGGTTGGAGAGTCATCCTGTAACCAAAAGGTTGCGGGTTCAATTCCCAGTCAGGGCACATATCTAGGTTGTGGGTTGGATCCCTGGTCTGGGCATGTATGGGAGGCAGCCAATCAGTGTTTCTTTGCACTGGAGATTTTTTCTCTCTTTTCCTCTAAAAAAGCAATGAAAATTGTCCTCAGTGAGGATAAAACTATATATAGAGAACAATTATATGCCCCAAAATTGGACAATCTGGAAGAAATGGATAAATTCCCAGGAACATGCAGTTTTCCAAAACTGAACCAAGAAGACACAGAAAATCTGAACAGTGTGATTACAATTAATGAAATCAAAACAGTAATAAAAAAAACTTCTAACAAATGAGCAGTGGTACAGTACAGTACAGCATGGAGTCACCATGGTGGACCTGCAGCAGCTCTAGTGCAGAAGGTGGTGGACTCCATGGTGAAGAGTCTGGAGAGAGAGAGCATCTGCTAGATGCAGGTCCTCATGTTTCCATTCAGCACCAACCATTGTGAGGACAAACATCAGTGTAGCAGGTACACCAAAGCATTATGCAATGCCATGCAACTGGCTTGAGCCCAGTGCCTGGTGACCAGCGTGTTGGAGAAGTTCCAGGACCATCTGGCCTGATGCACCTGCATTGCAAAGACAAAGCCAAAGAATCAATAGATCTGGGGAGTAAATAGGTTCAGGTGAAGCAGCAACTGGAAAGTCGTCTAAGTGTGTGGATGACCACACGAACCTCATTTGCACCAAGAAGAGGAAGGAGTCTCTCTTTCACTCAGAAATATGTCTTTGTGATTGGGCATTAAGACTGAAGACAGGAATCTATCTTAAAAAAAAAAAAGAACGTGAATTTTGGTCTTTTAAATAAAGTTTATGAATGAAGAAATTGAGGATGGCAGCCAGTTTAAGGCATGTGTCACTTGTCTTTGAACACTGGTTTCTTTATGTTTTAATCTTGGAAAGTGAAATGAAAAAAAAAAAACAACAACATTGTGCTAAAATTTGGGTCAGAGAGGTTTAGAGATCCTAAATTTATGTGGCAAGTGCTTGTCTTGGCAATAGGCATCTCCCTCAAACCAGCCAGAGCCCTCTGTGGTACCAACAGGCTGACAGATTCCTCTACCCTGCCAATGACCTGGTGGATAGCGAGGAAAGATTTTTCTGCTTTTTGCTAACTTCCTGCTTACCAGAGCATCACCACACCACTTTCTATAACCTGTTAAACTTGAGGTCACTAATTTAGAAGAGCAAAAAGACTTCTGGGTATTGGTTTTGTTTGGTTTTGTTTTATATACAAGGGCATAAAGTTGATTTAAGGTGTAGAGTTGGGAGAGGTAATTTGAGTAAGAACTTTGAAAGGTTCTTTTTGACATTCATTTCTGGCCATGAAAATGTGGACATGCATTTCTTAAAACTCTCACACATTACACCTTTCATCCTGAAGACCTGCCAA